GCAAGTAATCAATTTAATAGTAGTTTTTAACATGAGAATAATTACTACAAGTGTTACCAAAATGGCGGGTCCAGCTGATTTGCTTTTAGCGACGCTTAAAAATGCATTTGAATGAACGAATCGTCAGTCTAGGTATTTTATATGTCATTGATTTTTTTAATACGTTTTTTATATACGCATATGTAAAGCGGCAATGTCTTTTTTTCCGACAATGCGATTATTTTATTTTATCTTTAAAAATCATATTTTTTATTTTTTGAAACTTGTTTCTTTTCTCCTTTTTTTTTTAAATTTAAAAAATTGGATTCAACCGGAAATATATTCCAGCACGTTCAGAATTTCTATCTTATGAATTGTAGATAATTTTGCCAATAGTAACCTTCGAGTCATTTATTAATTATCAGAGTTGTTAAAAGATACTTTTTAAATGGATCTAGATGCAGATACATCGTCTAAAATAATATCTAGATACCGATATTTTAATCAAAAATCTATCTAGATACAGATATAGATACCACATTTTTATATCTAGATACAAGATCTAGATACTTGTATATCTAGATCCTTTAACAACTCTGTTAATTATATATACTATATTTATATATATTAAAAAAATCTATGAAAAAAAGAATATAAAGTTATATTAAGTTCAATAAAAAATATTTTTGCTATCCCATTTATTACATAACTTATAAAATAATAAGACATAAAAATATAAAAGGTTAAGGGTTAAAAACAAAATAAAAATTTAGAAAAATACGAAATACTTTCCCAAAATTCGGAAAGTGGATCTCAATATATATATGTCTTTTCTTTACTAATACATTTACATAGTCTGTACTTTCACCTTTTCTGATGGTAAGCTCCTTCAATATCTCTCTCCACTTTATGTCAATCATACTATCTCTTTTATCTAATTTATATTTCTTCATATTGGCTCTAACTTTATGGCCCCATTAAAGTTTTGGTCATTTCTCTTTTACGTTTGCCAATCACTTCCAAAACTCTCAACCTTATTTCCATGTAGTTCATAGGCCTTCTCATTGTATCATAATCTTTTTATATAACAAACGCCCTGACGGCAAAACCGTCGTACCTTTTTTCATGGGAAAGCCTTTAATGTGGGATTTTAACTGCATTGATGGCTCCATCTAATAATTCCCATGATCCCCTTAACATAGCCGAATCTCTAAAAAAATATAAAATACTCACACCTAATGTGTGATAACCACTTTGTTCCCATAGCAGCTACATCAACCTGCTCTTTTGAAAAAGCGGCTTTAGATTTATTCAAAATAATATCCAAATTAATAAAAAAAATTATACCTTTCTCCATTTTACAAACTCAAGCAGAAAATCGCCGTATCTATAATTAGATCTAATTATCAAATATTTAAAACATCATTGCCCCGACCTCGCCTTTCGATATTTTTCATTTTTTGTTTAAAATGTATTTTTCTTTTTATAAAAATATACATTAGTATCAATTTTTTTTCCCTAACTTAAACTGATATATGACTTATTTTAATATATTTTCTATATTATCATGTAAATTTTTAAATAATAATATTTTATCATATATTTGTATATGAATTTTTTAAAAAAATTGAATTTAAAACATAAAACTAAAGTTTAATAAACGTGAAGAATTAAATATTCAAATTGAAAAATATAGAATGCGAATTTATTAATAAATTTATTTAAGCATTCAAAGCACATAACCGAAATAGGAACACGCCTAATTTCTGCATCCAGAATCTTCACGTTATAATAAAGAACATATAATTAAACCATAAAATTACCTCAATTTATATTGCTGTGCATTCAAATTTAATTTTTCTAAAGAAAATCGCTCAGTTATTTTATTTTAATTATTTATTATAATATTTAAATATAGATTGCACAATTATCTGTATTCCATTTAAATTTCCCAAATTTTCTTAGTGTTCCTGCTAAAATTTCTCATAAATTATTGTTATTTTTTATATAAATATTGATATTCTTTTAGCATATAAATAAAAACAATGTAATGATGATATAGCATTTTTCTTCTTTTTTATTGTATTATTTTATTAAAAAAAATTAATGATATATAAATAAATCATAAATCCTAAAAATTTGTTGGTTATATTTTTTAAAAATAACGAATTTGTGAGAAAAAAAAATCAATTTATGCGTCATTAAAACTTCACTAAACATTGCAATTTTAAATGGTGTGTTTTTTTGCCTCAAATGACCATATAACTTATACAATCTCTTTTATCTTAACACTTTCAAGAATATAATTGACACTAAAAAGCTGCCACCACCATATCCCCAAACTCACTTTCAAGTTTCCGAAATCATCAAGGCTATTAAATCGTTTAAAAACAGCTGGAGGGTTAAATAGTTTCCGAGAAATTTACAGTCAGTATCTATCAAAGCCATCCATTCCTTACCACCAAAGCCTAATATCAGCCTTTTACAATACTTCTTAATAACATCTTTAATAACCTTTTTCCACCATGCATTCTACCCTTACATTTTGGTGATCGACTCATTGCGCTATCCAAAAAGGATGGAGGCATTTGCCCAATTGCTATTTGGGTCCCCATCTTTCGAAGAATCATCTCCAAAATCATTTGTTGGCTATTATAGGCAAAACTTTCAAATATTTTACTTCCACATCAATTAGGTTTTAGTATTCCTGCAGGGTGTGAAGCTGCTTCACACATGACACGCCATCTGCTCCACCAATTAAACAACATTTTTTTTTTAAATTAGATTTTTACAATGCATTCAACTCCCTTATTAAGAGAGAACATTTCATTCCTTCTTTCTGTAGAACATTCCCAGAATAATGAACATATATATCAGCTTGCTATGGTCACGTGTCTTTTTTGAAATTTCATGAAACGACTATAGAATCCTGTCAGGGAATGCAACAAGGGGACCCGATGGGCCCAGCTATCCTCTGTGAGGCTATTCGCATCAACATAGACAACTTCAACATCAAATGCAATGTCATTTTAAACACATGGTGTTTAGATGATGGTACAGTTGCAAGACCATACATTGTTTCACCTAACATTTTTGATTTCACTCCCACTACTGGACTTACCCTGACATAAAAAACGCGAATTTTATATGCCCAACAATGTTTATCCCATTCCTGGTAACTTTTCTATTTGAGAAATCAAGCATTACTAATTTAGGCTCACCTATTGGTGGCAAAGCAGTAATATTTTAATTTACCGAAGACTTCCTGATTAAATTTGATCGACTTCAGAAAATCTAGGATTTTTACAATTTCGTCATTCATTCTTTGTCCTAAAGGATTTCTTTTATATTTCAAAAATATTGCATGCCTTTCATTCTGCTACTCTTATCCAATTCCCAGACATGCTGCTAGATTTGGAAAAGTTAAAATCACCCCTGAATCAATTCTCAACTTCATATTATCGTCCAGTTGCTGGATGCAAGCCGCTCCTCCATGTAAATGTGGATCCTCGGCCAAACTGAGTATTGCAGCTTTTCCTCATCATTCACCAAAAGTCAAACAATTACTAAAATTGTTAACACCACTATAGATTCCCATCTAGGGTTAGCACTAGACTTAAACTTTCCTTTATACTCACAACAAGATTGGGACTTAACTTTAATCCAGCATTCCGTTGAATTCCTCTGTTCGAACGCTGCTTTGAAGTACATTTCCTTTATCTTTAACCCAAATATCCTCTCCCCAATAAATAAAAGCATTGATCCCCCCCCCATTAAATTAAAGTAGTAATTCTCCATCATCAATTCAACATTTCAGAACTTCGGATAGGAATAGATCTTCGTTTAGGCTGTGATATCGTAACACCCTTATTTTGCAAACAGTGTCAGCTCCATATAGACAGTCTAGGCCATCACCCTCTTCACTGCCGTTTCTCTAAAGGCCGCTACCCACGCCACCAAGCAATAAATTTAATTATTGCTAGAACTCTCCGTTCAGCTTATATTCCATCAAATTTGAATCCTGTAGGTCCTAATCTCGGGTGTAAAATCTACCTGACTGAATGACTCTTATTTCATGGAGCAGAGGAATCCCGCTAGCCTGGAATTTTGCATGCGTTGATAGCTTTGCACCATCCTTTTTCTCTAATTCCGTAGTTAGAGCGGAAATTAGAAAGATCAATAAATGCATAACCATTCCAAATAATACTCTAACCCCGATTGTTTCTGACATAGTAGGTGCTTTTGGACCTAGAGCATTGGAATTTTTCAAAGCACTCGGCCAAAAGATGGGCTTAATTTTGTGTGACCCTCAGGACAGTTTTTACCTACGCCAACGTCTCAATGAAAATTTTTAAGTCGCTATTATATCAATCCATGGTGCCATAACCTAGATGCACCAATTTATGTTCCTTCTCTTATTTTATATTTTTATATGCATTCTATATATCTTCTTTAAGGTCTAACAAACTACAAATATAGCTTATCCTTTTATTGTAAAATTGTATACGTTTTTTGATATCGGAATTTTATTCAAATTAGAAATATGCATATTTTAAACTTTTTAATATACTAATGAATGACTGATATGTCTTTAAACCTATTATTTCCGAATGGCTATTAATTTTATAATAAAATACGTTACCGTTCACTAGTACTTTGGGATTATTTATAAATTATAGTTATTCTTAAAAAGATAAAATAAGGAAGTTTGAAATTTATCATGAAGCATTATAGTTTCTTAGAAGCTATCTTAAGGAGAGAAATATATAAATCTTTTTTTTTTCTAAAATGGATTCTTTGCCTCCTTTATTATTCCCTAATACTTATTCTCCTGAGAAATTATACATATTTTATAATGCAAAATAATTTATAAATAATAACTTGAGGCAATAAAAATAATATCCGAGCAAAACTATAACAGTATTTCATAACATCAATATTAAAAATTTCTTATTTATTGGCATCTCACCTTGACTTGAAGAACAAAATAGTTTTATTTAAAGTAGGTTACTTGGGTATTCATGAAAGTAAAATAATTTGATATTTAGACATTAGATATTACATTAACTCCTTATATATATTATATTTATTTTCATAAATTAGACTATAATTGGTAACCCTGAGAAAGTTTTAGAAGGCACGATTTATTACGAGAATGCAATTATACCAGATAACGATATCACAAGTGCTAACCCTACTTCTAATGCCAATTCTTCCATCATAATTATGACCACCGTGACTTCCAAAATAAATACGACCAAATTTCATAGAACGAGACCCCAAAGATCTACCAGTAAAATCAAAACTTTTAAACCCCAAACCACAAGTACACAAAGAACTACTCGAACCCAAAGAACTACTAGAACACAAAGAACTACACGAACACCCAAAGTTAAAAGACATAAAACTACTAAAACCAAAAAAGTTACCAGAAAACCCAAAACAAAAAACAAAAAAACTAATAAAGGCTCAAATGGAAAACTTAAAGCAGAGAAACATAAGTTTAGTAGAATATTTATTGCAACCTCTAAATGTACTAGTAAAAAAAATTATACAAGGTTAAAAACTACTAAAGCTTCTAGAAATAATAGAAAACATAAAACTAAACAAAAAACTACCAAAATTTTAAGAACCGATAGTAAATATGAAACTGAACATATAACCACCAAAACACCAATAACGACCAGAACACCAAATACTTATAAAACCAAAAATACAAGACTAAAAAATAGCAGAAAACCTAAAATTACGAGACCCAAAACTTCTACTAAAAATACCAGATTAAAATTAGCTAAAACATCAATAATTAATCTACTGACAACTTCTAAGACAACTAAAACTACTAGAACACTCAAAACAACTGGGACACCCAAAACTACTAGGACTCTCAACACTACTAGAACAACCAAAACTACTAGGTCACTTATAACTACCCGAACCCCAAGAACTACTACTAGATCACGGTTGACAACTTCGAGAACTTCTAAGAGAAAACAGAGAACTGGTAGAATTTTAAAAACTATTAGAAGTAGTATTTTTAATCAAGCGAAAACTACTAAACAAAAAAATTTCAAGAACACATTAACCACTGGACCAATTCAGAATGCTAGAAGCTCAAAGAAAACTAGAAACAAAAGAACGACCAGAATATCGACAAAACGCAAAACACATAGATGGAAAACTAGTAGAACCCCTCAAACCACTAGTATCCCACAAACTAGTAGAGAGTCTACAATTATTAATCCAAAAACTAATATGAAACTTAAAACAAGTAGACTTAAAACTAAGCGAAAAACTACCATAAAATATAAACATACCAGAACTGAAAGATCTATAAAAATACATAAAAACACTAGACCTATATTTACGAGAAAATTAATAACCACTAAGACACTTAAAACGACTACATGCAAAAGTACTACACAAAAAACGTCGAAACTAAAGAAGCCTAAAAATATAAAGACTACTGATGCCTATGGAACGAAAACCAGAGGAACTTCCAAAACGAAAAATTGGCATATGCGGAAAATTACAACAAAGATTATTAGAACACATAAAACAAGTGGCCCAAAAACTACCAGAAGACAAAAACCGTACAGCCGGAAAACCACTATCAAACATTTAACCACCAAAAAACATAAAATTAGCAAGAGTGCAAAAACGACTAAAACTTTACCAACTACTACAATCCCACAAACTACTAAAACTCCACAAACTACTAGAAGCCTTCGTATTAGCAGAAAGCACAAAACTAATAGTCCAAAAACTACAGCAAAATTTAAAACAGAAACGAGAGGTAACAAGAAAACTACAAAATATAAATCTTCTACAACCAGGAGAACTCATCGAGCACACACAACTCCTAAAACAATAAACACTAGAAAGTCGACAATTGCTTGGACCCCCATAATGACTATTAAAAATAGTAGATATAAATCTACGAGGGCGGATAAAAGACAATATACAAAGGTTAGAACACATAGAACAAATGGCCCAAAAACTACCAAAAGACAAAAAACGCACAGCCGGAAATCTACTCTCAAACATTTAACTACCAAAACACAAAAAATTAGCAAGATTGCAAAAACGACAAAATCTTCACGAATTACTACAATCCCACGAAGTACAACAACTCCACGAACTACTAAAACTCCACAAACTACTAAAACTCCACAAACTACTAAAACTCCACAAACTACTAAAACTCCACAAACTACTAAAACTCCACAAACTACTAAAACTCCACAAACTACTAAAACTCCACAAACTACTAAAACTCCACAAACTACTAAAACTCCACAAACTACTAAAACTCCACAAACTACTAAAACTCCACAAACTACTAAAACTCCACAAACTACTAAAACTCCTCAAACTACTAAAACTCCACAAACTACTAAAACTCCACAAACTACTAAAACTCCACAAACTACTGGAAGCCTTAGTATTAGCAGAAAGCACAAAACTTATAATCCTAAAACTACAGCAAAATTCAAAACAGAAACGAGAGCTAATAAGAAAACTACAAAATATAAAACTTCTTCAACCAGGAGAACTCATCGAGCACACACAACTCCTAAAACAATCATCACTAGAAAGTCGACAATTGCTTGGACCCCCAAAATGACTACTAAAAATAATAGACATAAAACTACGAGGAAGGATCAAACAAAATATACAGAGATTAGAACACATAGAACAAGTGGCCCAAAAACTACCAAAAGACAAAAAACGTACAGCCGGAAAACTACTCTCAAACATTTAACTACCAAAACACAAAAAATTAGCAAGAGTGCAAAAACGAGTAAAGCTTCACGAACTACTACAATCCCACGAAGTACAACAACTCCACGAACTACTAAAACTCTACAAACTACTAAAACTCCACAAACTACTAGAAGCCTTCGTATTAGCAGAAAGCACAAAACTTATAATCCTAAAACTACAGCAAAATTCAAAACAGAAACGAGAGCTAACAAGAAAACTACAAAATATAAAACTTTTCCAACCAGGAGAACTCATCGAGCACACACAAATCCTAAAACAATAATCACTAGAAAGTCGACAATTGCTTGGACCCCCAAAATGACTACTAAAAATACTAGACAAAAATCTACTAGGGCGGATAAAACAATATATACAAAGATTAGAACAAATAGAACAAGTGGCTTAAAAACTACCAGAAGGCAAAAAACGTACAGACGGAAAACTACTATCAAACATTTAACTACCAAAAAACAAAAAATTAGCAAGAGTGCAAAAACGAGTAAAACTTCACGAATTACTACAATCCCACGAACTACAACAACTCCACGAACTACTAAAACTACACAAACTACTAGAAGCCTTCGTATTAGCAGAAAGCACAAAACTAATAATCCTAAAACTACAGCAAAATTCAAAACAGAAATGAGAGCTAACAAGAAAACTACAAAATATAAAACTTTTCCAACCAGGAGAACTCATCGAGCACACACAACTACTAGAAAAATAAACACCAGAAAACCGACAATTGCTTGGACCCACATAACGACAACATGTACTAAAAGTACTAGACAAAAACGGACTAGGACAAATAAAACTAAACATACAAAGATTACTACAACACATCGAACAAGTGGCCAAAAAACTACAAGAAGGCAAAAAACGTATAACGGGAAAACTACTATCAAACCATTAAAAATCAATAAGCAAAAGTATAGCAAAAGTGTCAAAACGACTAAAACTAGAAGAACTACTAAAATTCCACGATCTACTACAATCCCATTAACTACTAAAACTCCAAGAACTACAAAAATTCAACAAACTACTAAAACCAAACGAACAACGAAAACCAGTAAAACTACTAAAAGTACACGTACTAGCAATAAGCGTAAATCTACTAATCCAAAATCTACAGGAAAATATAAAACAGAAAGCTCGAAAACTAAAAAGAAAATTATAAAATATCCAACTTCTCAAACCAGGAGAACTCATCGAGCACACACAACTTCTAGACAAATAAACACCAGTAAACAGACAATTGCTTGGACTCACAAAACGACAACATGTACTAAAAGTATTAGTCAAAAACGTACTAAGACAAATAAAACAAAATATACTAAGACTACTAGAACACACCGTACAAGTGGCAAAAAAACTACAAGAAGGCATAAAACGTATAGTCGGAAAACTACTATACCATTAAAGACCAATAAACAAAAATATAGCAAAAGTGTCAAAACGACTAAAACTAGAAGAACTACTAAAATTCCACGATCTACTACAATCCCATTAACTACTAAAACTCCTCGAACTACTAAAACTCCAAGAACTACAAAAATTCAACGAACTACTAAATCCAAACGAACAGCGAAAACCAGTAAAACTACTAAAAGCACACGTACTAGCAATAAACGTAAATCTACTAATCCAAAATCTACAGGAAAATATAAAACAGAAAGCTCGAAAACTAAAAAGAAAACTATAAAATATCCAACTTCTCAAACCAGGAGAACTCATCGAGCACACACAACTTCTATACAAATAAACACCAGTAAACCGACAATTGCTTGGACTCACAAAACGACAACATGTACTAAAAGTATTAGTCAAAAACGTACTAAGACAAATAAAACAAAATATACTAAGACTACTAGAACACACCGTACAAGTGGCAAAAAAACTACAAGAAGGCATAAAACGTATAGTCGGAAAACTACTATACCATTAAAGACCAATAAACAAAAATATAGCAAAAGTGTCAAAACGACTAAAACTCGAAGAACTACTAAAATTCCACGATCTACTACAATCCCATTAACTACTAAAACTCCTCGAACTACTAAAACTCCAAGAACTACAAAAATTCAACGAACTACTAAATCCAAACGAACAGCGAAAACCAGTAAAACTACTAAAAGCACACGTACTAGCAATAAACGTAAATCTACTAATCCAAAATCTACAGGAAAATATAAAACAGAAAGATCGAAAACTAAAAAGAAAACTATAAAATATCCAACTTCTCAAACCAGGAGAACTCATCGAGCACACACAACTTCTAGACAAATAAACACCAGTAAACCGACAATTGCTTGGACTCACAAAACGACAACATGTACTAAAAGTATTAGTCAAAAACGTACTAAGACAAATAAAACAAAATCTACTAAGACTACTAGAACACACCGTACAAGTGGCAAAAAAACTACAAGAAGGCATAAAACGTATAGTCGGAAAACTACTATACCATTAAAGACCAATAAACAAAAATATAGCAAAAGTGTCAAAACGACTAAAACTCGAAGAACTACTAAAATTCCACGATCTACTACAATCCCATTAACTACTAAAACTCCTCGAACTTACTAAAACTCACAAGAACTACAAAAATTCAACGAACTACTAAATCCAAACGAACAGCGAAAACCAGTAAAACTACTAAAAGCACACGTACTAGCAATAAGCGTAAATCTACTAATCCAAAATCTACAGGAAAATATAAAACAGAAAGATCGAAAACTAAAAAGAAAACTATAAAATATCCAACTTCTCAAACCAGGAGAACTCATCGAGCACACACAACATCTAGACAAATAAACACCAGTAAACCGACAATTGCTTGGACTCACAAAACGACAACATGTACTAAAAGTATTAGTCAAAAACGTACTAAGACAAATAAAACAAAATCTACTAAGACTACTAGAACACACCGTACAAGTGGCAAAAAAACTACAAGAAGGCATAAAACGTATAGTCGGAAAACTACTATACCATTAAAGACCAATAAACAAAAATATAGCAAAAGTGTCAAAACGACTAAAACTCGAAGAACTACTAAAATTCCACGATCTACTACAATCCCATTAACTCCTAAAACTCCTCGAACTACTAAAACTCCAAGAACTACTAAAACTATAAGAACTACAAAAATTCAACGAACTACTAAATCCAAACGAACAGCGAAAACCAGTAAAACTACTAAAAGTACACGTACTAGCAATAAGCGTAAATCTACTAATCCAAAATCTACAGGAAAATATAAAACAGAAAGATCGAAAACTAAAAAGAAAACTATAAAATATCCAACTTCTCAAACCAGGAGAACTCATCGAGCACACACAACATCTAGACAAATAAACACCAGTAAACCGACAATTACTTGGACTAACAAAACGACAACATGTACTAAAGGTACTAGACAAAAACCTAATAAGACAAATAAAACAAAATATACTAAGACTACTAGAACACACCGTACAAGTGGCAAAAAAACTACAAGAAGGCATAAAACCTATAGTCGGAAAACTACTATCAAACCTTTAACCACCAAAACGAAAAAATATAGCAAAAGTATCAGAACGACTAAACTTCGAAGAACTACTATAACTCCAAGATCTATTATATCTCTACGAACTACAAAACCCAAACGATCTACTAAATCCCAACGAACTAAGAAAAGGAAACGTAATAGAAGAAAACGCAAAACTAGAAATACAAAAACTTTAAGAAAATTTAAAACAAAAAGATTTAAAACTAAAAAGAAAACTAAAAAATATAAAACTTCTCAATCCAGGAGAACTCATATGGCACACACAACTAAACCGACAATTGCTTGGACCCACATAACGACAACATGTACTAAAAGTACTAGACAAAAACGGACTAGAACAAGTAAAACTAAACATAAAAAGATTACTAAAACACATCGAACAAGTGGCCAAAAAACTACAAGAAGGCAAAAAACGTATAACGGGAAAACTACTATCAAACCATTAAAAACCAATAAGCAAAAGTATAGCAAAAGTGTCAAAACGACTAAAACTCGAAGAACTACTAAAATTCCACGATATACTACAATCCCTTTAACTACTAAAACTCCTCGAACTTCTAAAACTCCAAGAACTACAAAAATTCAACGAACTACTAAAACCAAACGTACAGCGAAAACCAGTAAAACTACTAAAAGCACACGTACTAGCAATAAGCGTAAATCTACTAATCCAAAATCTACAGGAAAATATAAAACAGAAAGATCGAAAACTAAAAAGAAAACTATAAAATATCCAACTTCTCAAACCAGGAGAACTCATCGAGCACACACAAATAAACCGACAATTGCTTGGACCCACAATACGACAACATGTACTAAAAGTACTAGACAAAAACGGACTAGGACAAGTAAAACTAAACATACAAAGATTACTACAACACATCGAACAAGTGGCCAAAAAACTACAAGAAGGCAAAAAACGTATAACGGGAAAACTACTATCAAACCATTAAAAACCAATAAGCAAAAGTATAGCAAAAGTGTCAAAACGACTAAAACTCGAAGAACTACTAAAATTCCACGATATACTACAATCCCATTAACTACTAAAACTCCTCGAACTACTAAAACTCCAAGAACTACAAAAATTCAACGAACTACTAAAACCAAACGTACAGCGAAAACCAGTAAAACTACTAAAAGCACACGTACTAGTAATAAGCGTAAATCTACTAATCCAAAATCTACAGGAAAATATAAAACAGAAAGCTCGAAAACTAAAAAGAAAACTATAAAATATCCAACTTCTCAAACCAGGAGAACTCATCGAGGATACACAACTAAACCGACAATTGCTTGGACCCACATAACGACAACATGTACTAAAAGTACTAGACAAAAACGGACTAGGACAAGTAAAACTAAACATACAAAGATTAATACAACACATCGAACAAGTGGCCAAAAAACTACAAGAAGGCAAAAAACGTATAACGGGAAAACTACTATCAAACCATTAAAAATCAATAAGCAAAAGTATAGCAAAAGTGTCAAAACGACTAAAACTCGAAGAACTACTAAAATTCCACGATATACTACAATCCCATTAACTACTAAAACTCCTCGAACTTCTAAAACTCCAAGAACTACAAAAATTCAACGAACTACTAAAACCAAACGTACAGCGAAAACCAGTAAAACTACTAAAAGCACACGTACTAGCAATAAGCGTAAATCTACTAATCCAAAATCTACAGGAAAATATAAAACAGAAAGATCGAAAACTAAAAAGAAAACTATAAAATATCCAACTTCTCAAACCAGGAGAACTCATCGAGCACACACAACTAAACCGACAATTGCTTGGACCCACATAACGACAACATGTACTAAAAGTACTAGACAAAAACGGACTAGGACAAGTAAAACTAAACATACAAAGATTACTACAACACATCGAACAAGTGGCCAAAAAACTACAAGAAGGCAAAAAACGTATAACGGGAAAACTACTATCAAACCATTAAAAACCAATAAGCAAAAGTATAGCAAAAGTGTCAAAACGTCTAAAACTCGAAGAACTACTAAAATTCCACGATATACTACAATCCCATTAACTACTAAAACTCCTCGAACTACTAAAACTCCAAGAACTACAAAAATTCAACGAACTACTAAAACCAAACGTACAGCGAAAACCAGTAAAACTACTAAAAGCACACGTACTAGTAATAAGCGTAAATCTACTAATCCAAAATCTACAGGAAAATATAAAACAGAAAGATCGAAAACTAAAAAGAAAACTATAAAATATCCAACTTCTCAAACCAGGAGAACTCATCGAGCACACACAACTAAACCGACAATTGCTTGGACCCACATAACGACAACATGTACTAAAAGTACTAGACAAAAACGGACTAGGACAAGTAAAACTAAACATACAAAGATTACTACAACACATCGAACAAGTGGCCAAAAAACTACAAGAAGGCAAAAAACGTATAACGGGAAAACTACTATCAAACCATTAAAAACCAATAAGCAAAAGTATAGCAAAAGTGTCAAAACGTCTAAAACTCGAAGAACTACTAAAATTCCACGATATACTACAATCCCATTAACTACTAAAACTCCTCGAACTACTAAAACTCCAAGAACTACAAAAATTCAACGAACTACTAAAACCAAACGTACAGCAAAAACCAGTAAAACTACTAAAAGCACACGTACTAGTAATAAGCGTAAATCTACTAATCCAAAATCTACAGGAAAATATAAAACAGAAAGCTCGAAAACTAAAAAGAAAACTATAAAATATCCAACTTCTCAAACCAGGAGAACTCATCGAGCACACACAACTAAACCGACAATTGCTTGGACCCACATAACGACAACATGTACTAAAAGTACTAGACAAAAACGGACTAGGACAAGTAAAACTAAACATACAAAGATTACTACAACACATCGAACAAGTGGCCAAAAAACTACAAGAAGGCAAAAAACGTATAACGGGAAAACTACTATCAAACCATTAAAAACCAATAAGCAAAAGTATAGCAAAAGTGTCAAAACGACTAAAACTCGAAGAACTACTAAAATTCCACGATATACTACAATCCCATTAACTACTAAAACTCCTCGAACTACTAAAACTCCAAGAACTACAAAAATTCAACGAACTACTAAAACCAAACGTACAGCGAAAACCAGTAAAACTACTAAAAGCACACGTACTAGTAATAAGCGTAAATCTACTAATCCAAAATCTACAGGAAAATATAAAACAGAAACCTCGAAAACTATAAAGAAAACTATAAAATATCCAACTTCTCAATCCAGGAGAACTCATCGAGTACACACAACTTCTAGACAAATAAACACCAGTAAACCGACAATTGCTTGGACTCACAAAACGACAAAATGTACTAAAAGTATTAGTCAAAAACGTACTAAGACAAATAAAACAAAATATACTAAGACTACTAGAACACACCGTACAAGTGGCAAAAAAACTACAAGAAGGCATAAAACGTATAGTCGGAAAACTACTATACCATTAAAGACCAATAAACAAAAATATAGCAAAAGTGTCAAAACGACTAAAACTCAAAGAACTACTAAATTTCCACGATCTACTACAATCCCATTAACTACTAAAACTCCTCGAACTACTAAAACTCCAAGAAATACAAAAATTCAACGAACTACTAAATCCAAACGAACAGCGAAAACCAGTAAAACTACTAAAAGCACACGTACTAGCAATAAACGTAAATCTACTAATCCAAAATCTACAGGAAAATATAAAACAGAAAGCTCGAAAACTAAAAAGAAAACTATAAAATATCCAACTTCTCAAACGAGGAGAAGTCATCGAGCACACCCAACTTCTGGACAAATAAACACCAGTAAACCGACAATTGCTTGGAATCACAAAACGACAACATGTACTAAAAGTACTAGACAAAAACCTACTAAGACAAATAAAACAAAATATACTAAGACTACTAGAACACACCGTACAAGTGGCAAAAAAACTACAAGAAGGCTTAAAACGTATAGTCGGAAAACTACTATCAAATCTTTAAACGGCAAAACAAAAAAATATATCAAAAGTGTCAGAACAACTAAACCTCGAAGAACTACTATAACTCCACGAACTATTAAATCTACACAAACTATAAAACCCCAACGAACTATTAAAAGGAAACGTAATAGCAGAAAACGCAAAACTAGCAATCCAAAATTTAGAGGAACATTTAAAACAAAAAGATTTAAAACTAAAAAGAAAACTAGAAAATATAAAACTTCTCAAACCAAGAGAACTCATCGAGTATACACAACTATTAGAAAAATAACAACTAGAAAGTCGACAACTACATGGACCCCTAAAACTACAACTTGTACCAAAAGTACTAAACAAAAAAGTACTAGGAAAACAAAATATATAAAGATTACGAGAACACACCGAACAATTGGCCCAATATCTACAAGAAAACAAAAAAAATATAGCCGGAAAAATACTATAAAACCCTTAACCACCAAAACACAAAAATATAGAAAAAGTGTAAGAACTACTAAAATTCCACGATATACTACAATCCCATTAACTACTAAAACTCCTCGAACTACTAAAACTCCACGAACTACTAAAACTCCACGAACTACAAGAACCAATCGAACAACTAAAACCCAACGAACTACTAGAAGCACACGTGCTGGCAGTAAGGGTAAAAGTACAAATACAAAAACTACAGGAAAATTTAAAGCAGAAAGATCGAAAACTATAAAATATCAAACTTCTAAAAGTACTAGACAAAAAAGTACAAGAACTGATAAAACTAAATATACAAAAATTACTAGAACACATCGAGCAAGTAGCCCAAAAACTACAAGAAGGCATAAAACGTATAGCTGCAAAACTACTATCAAACCTTTAACCACCAAAACAAAAAAATATAGCAAAAGTATCAGAACGACTAAACCTCGAAAAACTACTATAACTCCACGTTCTATTAAATCTCTACGAACTACAAAACCTCAACGATCTACTAAATCCCAACGAACTACTAAAAGGAAACGTAATAGAAGAAAACGCAAAACTAGAAATCCAAAAACTTTAAGAAAATTTAAAACAAAAAGATTTAAAACTAAAAAGAAAACTAGAAAATATAAAACTTCTCAAACCAGGAGAACTCATCGAGCACTCACAACTAAACCGACAATTGCTTGGACCCACATAACGACAACATGTACTAAAAGTACTAGACAAAAAATTACTAGGACAACTAAAACAAAACACACAAAGATTACTAGAACACACAGAACCAGTAGCCCAAAAACTACGAGAAGGCAAGAAACGTTAAAACGGAAAACTACTATCAAACTCTTAACTACCAAAAGATATAAAACTAGCAAGAGTGCACAAACTACTAAAACTCCACGAACTACTAAATTTCTACGAACTACAAAACTCCAACGAACTACTAAAAGGAAACATAATCGTAGAAAGCGCAAAACTAGCAATCCAAAAACTAATAGAAAATTTAAAAGATCAAAAACTAAAAAGAAAACTAGAAAATATAAAACTACTCAAACCAGGAGAACTCATCGAGCATACACAACTATTAGAAAAATAACCACTAGAAAGTCTACAACCGCATGGACCCCAAAAACTACAACTTGTACTAAAATTACTAAACCAAAAAGTAGTAGGAAAACAAAATATACAAAGATTACAGGAATACACCCAACAATTGGCCCAATATCTATAAGAAAACATAAAACGTATAGCCAAAAAAATACTATCAAACCCTTAACCACCAAAACACAAAAATATAGGAAAAGTGTCAGAAGTACTAAAACTCGAAGAACTACTAAAACTCCACGAACTACTACAATCCCACTAACTACTAAATCTCCACGAACTACTAAAACTCCACGAACTACAAAAACCAAACGAACAACCAAAACCAAACGAACTACTAGAAACATACGTACTAACAATAATGGTAAAACTACTAATCCAAAAACTACAGGAAAATTTAAAACTGAAAGATCGAAAACTATAAAATATCAAACTTCTAAAAGTACTAGACAAAAAAGTACTAGAACAGATAAAACTATATATAAAAAGATTACTAGAACACACGGTACAAGTGGCCCAAACACTACAAGAAGGCAAAAAACGTATATCTGGCAAACTACTATCAAACCCTTAACCATCAAAACACACAAAAAAAGTGTCAGAAAGACTAAAACTCGAAGAACTACTAAAACTCTACGAACTACTACAATCCCACTAACTACTAAATCTCCAATAACTACTAAAACTCCAAGAACTACAAAAACTCCACGAACTACGAAAATCCAACGAACTACTAGAAGCACACGTACTAGCAGTAAGCGTAAAAGTACTAATCCAAAAACTACAGGAAAATTTAAAACAGAACGATCAAAAACTAAATATAAAACTTTAAAATATAAGACCTCTCCAACCAGGCGAACTCATCGAACACACACAACTATTAGACAAATAAACACCAGTAAACCGAGAATTGCTTGGACCCACAAAACGACAACACGTACTAAAAGTACTAGACAAAAAAATACTAGGACAACTAAAACAAAATACACAAAGATTACTAGAACACACAGATCCAGTAGCCCAAAAACTACAAGAAGGCAAAAAACGTATAACCGAAAAACTACTATCAAACCCTTGACTACCAAAAGATATAAAATTAGCAAGAGTGCACGAATGACTAAAACTCCAAGAACTACTAATACTCCGCTAACGACTAAAACTCCACAAACTATTAAAACTCCACGAACTACTAAAATCCAAGTAACTACAAGAAGCACACGAAGTAGCAGACAGCGAAAAACTACTGATCGAATAACTACAGGAAAACTTAAAACAGAAAGATCGAAAACTAAAAAGAAAACTATAACATATCAAACTTCTCGAATTAGGACAACTCATCGAACACACATTGCTAAAAGACCTATAATCACAAATCAACCGACAATTGCTTTGACCCCCATTAAAAGCCTAAGAACTACTCTAAAACAAAAAACTCATAAAACAAAAGTTATTAAAACTCCCATAACATCTAGAACACTAAAAACCAATGTAAAACATGAAACAACTAGGCGAAAGCTTATTAAAAAAACTACTAGAAAACATAGAAATAACAAAGTAAGAAGAACTCGTAGACATAAAATAACTAAACAAAGGTTTATTAGAAAAACTACTAATAAACATAAAAGAAGCAAAATAAAACGAACTGATAAAAAACGCAAAACGACTTTACCTGTAATTAATAAAATGTCTATAACTACAATTCCCCCCAAAATTACTAAAAGTAACAAAACAATTACCAGAAATACAAAGATTACTCAAACCTACAATACTAGAAGCCCGAAAACCACCAGAACACATACAACCTATAAAAAAAAGACTACTAGAAATACCATAACCACTAAAACCCCACAAACTACTAAAACCCCGCGAACTACTAAAACAGCGCAATCTACAAATTACCTCTATATTCTTCGACATAAAACTACTAGAAAACCCCAGATTAGACCAAAAACGACTAGGAAATCTACAAGGGAACATAAAGATACCAAAATAAAAATTACTCATAGAAAATACAAAACTACTAAACCTATAATTACTAAACTATCAACAAATATTAGGACCCCCAAAATGACTACACGCGTTAAAAGTACTAGACAAAAGATTGCCAATTCCAAAAATACCAGAATTACAAAGACTATTGGAAAAAAAATAACTGTGAGCCCAAGAACTACCAGAACACAAAAAATTTATAGATGGAAAATCACTAGACAACTTATAACCACGAACGCTGTAAGAACTACAAGATCCCCACAAACTACAAGAACGCCAAAAATTACCAGAAAATCCATTACAACTAGACTAAAACATTTAAGAAAAACTTCTAGAAAACAGAAAACTACCAGAAGTATACGAATAACTCCTGAAATAAATAAACTCTTTAAGAGTACTAGAGTTAAAACTGCAAAACTAAAAACAACCAGAAATATAAAACCTTCTGGTCACAAAACTAGAACCCCTAAAATTGTTAAAAGCCCACGTACTATCAGAAAACACCAAAAACATACGAGAACTTCTAGAAAATTTATAACTACTCGAGCCTCCAAAACGAATAGGAAACACAAAAAAACTAGGCCAAAGTCTATTAGAAAAACTACTAGAAGACATAAAAATTTTAGGACGATAAAAATTCATAAACACAAAGGTACTAAACCGAAATCGACTAGAAAATCTACTAGAAAACCTAAAAGTAGAACGAAAAAGATTAGAAAAACTGATGGAAAACATAAAACGAAGAGAAGCAAATATTTCCATAGATATCATAAGAAACACAAAATCATTAGATGGACAAGGATCAGAAAAACTACTAGAACACCCAAAACTATAACGATAACTAATAGAAAAATATAAAAGGAACAGAAACAACTATTTATATATATATATCATTCGTAGGACACATAAAAAACACTAGACAATAGAAAAACTATCCAGAAAACACTAAAACATGTCAGAACAAAAAAACGAACATGCGCAAATATTTTCAATAGATATTAATCGAACACATTATAAAAAAGGAATAACAAAAAAAATGAATAGAAAGTTTAAATAGAAAATGTAAAACAAAAAAGAAAATTAGAACTCCATAGAACTTATAGGACACCCAAAACAATACGTCAAAAAATTAGTAGAATATCCACTTTAAAACTAAAATTTACCATAATGTCTATGATTTTTTAAAACCACTAAATTAAATAACACCGTATAATACCAAGAACAATCACCAAATTAGAAAGCACAATACAAAAATATTTTTTTAGTATTAAATATCATAAATATTTATTTGTATTTTATATAGTTTAAATAGGTTGTGTTGCATTAAATAATATGTTAACTAGTTTTTCGATTATTTATATATTTTTTGGTGTATTTAAATTTAAAAAAAAATCTATTGGGGTTAATGTAAATAAGCCTTAGGTTATGGAAGTATCGGGATATTTGTGTTTAAATATAGAATGTGTAACCATACGATTTTTTTGGCGATTATTGGTTGTTTATAGGTTAAGAATGTGATTTTAATATAATATTAGTTGTAAGAATAAAATATAATGTAAATTTTTTTATTTATAAAAATTAATAAATTTTAAAATTTAACTATCTTTTTTTTTATATATAGTATATACGGCGAATTTTATTCAAAATCAAAATAAATTGAAATTTATGAATAACTACATTCAAAGACTTCTAATTATAATGTTGTTATATTGATTTGATTGTAACATTTTACCATAAATAAACGTTATAATGGCATAAATGGTGCCTGGCCCAAATGCGTAAGTATATTAATTTGTTATAAGTAATAATTGTGGAAGAGTATAATGAATGGATGTATAATTTCAAATTTGTTACTTTACACAAGCAATTAGAATATTAAATAATTTATGAGCTTCCTGCAGAAATTATATATTCTAAGATAATTATAGTTATATAAACATAAATAAATGGCTTAGGTTATACATGTACTAAAAGGGTATATTTAATTTTAAAAAATTTAAAGTGATTAGGTCAATGGAAATACATTATAATATATAAGGAGCTGTGATATTAATTTAGATTTGTTTGGAATTATAAAGACGCATTAAGCCAAATAGGAGTATTAATATAAAGTGGCTGGCGGACCTTAAGCTATAACCTGGTTACCTCATTATGCGCGGCACAATAATTAATGCAAGAATAAATGTGATTTAACTGAGTATGAAAATAAATGGTAATTCCTCCTCAAGAATTGAATTGCGTAGCAATGAAATAAAAAAGGACCCACAATCAGATTAACTGGGGTTATCTTAAGTTTAGTGACCAAGAGTGAGTGAAAATGTCAGACTTTGCAGGAATCAAGGACATTTATGCGGGATTTTCGATAAAGTGTCTAAAATGTGGTCGCTATGGGGACATTGAAGGAGTCTGCGCGGTAAATCGGAAGAGGTGAAGCCCATCAGGTGTGGAAGATTTGGTGGATGTCTCGAATTGTACAAAGTTTGACTAAAGAACTCGAGAAGGTTTTCCTCGAGTAGAATTTAATGATGTTAGTGATGGAACGGTGCCCTGAAAAATGACTCTATGTTGGCGAGAATAAGCTTGCAGAAACCATGATAATCTGTAACGAATTGTAAAGTTAAAGATGAATGTGAAGAAAAAAACCAGATGAGCGAAATGTTGTAAAGAAAAACACAAAGTGGTACCTTTAAATGTAAAATTAAAGAAAAATATAAGAGGTATAGGGGAGGAATAAGTTCCTAGAGTGATTATAACATTAGAAAATATGGTAATGACTCTGTAATTACATACGGGAGCAACGATTACTCTTATGTCTTATAAGAAATGTCAGTAACACTGGCCTAACAGTTTGCCTAATTTGCTGTACTTTTGATCATTTAATATTTAAATTTTTCTAATTTACTTATTTATACTCATTTATTATTAAATTTTGTTATTTATAATTATTTTTGGTCCTTTGACCCTTTATGACGGTTTAAGGCGAAGCGACATTTTATTAATTTGTCAGTATTTTTGCATTTTGCCATTAACTAGTTAATCAGATCCTTGGGCACTTTTTTGTGCAGTCATCTGAAAGGAGACTCGATGCCGATTGACAAGATTAAGCGAGAGTCAGACATCAAGAATTTTAAGCTTTTAAAAGGATTAGGGGTACTAGATGAAATTATGGAATACGCTAGGAGTGATTCCCTATTAACTGAATTTGTTTCAAGAAGGACATCAGGAAGTTGAAATAATGAAACAGTAGAGATTCATGAATACATGATGGCCCGTAATATATATAATGATATAGAATTTGTGTAAGAATTGTAACGAGTATGATGTGTGTGCAAGGATTTCCCTAAAAAATGGAAGTAGTAGATGGCCATTGACTAGAAATTCGTGGCAGAGGGGACGCATACCAATTTCTTTGAATAGGATAAGAATACATGCTTCTTCTTAGTAAACCGCATATTCGAAATGGATTAAGAATGGGGGAGGGGGGTTCTTGGATTAACATACAGGTTGACGTTCACAAGTATAGGTTTCAAAAAAGTTGCAAAGAAAATGGTAACGTTACATATTTTACCATCACCTTATCATCCGAGTTTATAATAGATGGCTGAAGGATAGCCAGTCTACTAGAAATCTGGCAGAAAACAGCAAATGAAGGAAAATTGAAATTGTATATTAAAAATTATTTTTGGGTGGAAGAACAAGGATACTCTTGTACCTTCAGTCGGAGGTCAGGATGAATGATGAGAGACAAAAGGAGGAGGAAGAAAGGTTAGAATACACTGATGAGCAGAAAGTGTACGAGAGAATGTATAATGAATCAAGGAAATTGGAACCGGTAATAGTAAAATCAAATGTTGGAAAGAGATAAATTATATAGGAATTGGCTCTAGGAGGAGAAATTGTTAGGCGTACGGATCAAGTACGAAACCGGAAATAGATTAATGAAATCCTCCGAGAATAGAGTAAGAATGGGTGAGGGGAAGAGGATCGTGTAGAGGAGTCAGAGATTTTTTTTTTAAAAATGGGAAAAAGGGAATATTGAATAAATAACTATTTTTTTAAAAAAAAGAAACGAATAATATATATGAATATAAAATAGACATAAGTATATAAGAAAGATTATCTAGAGATATCGTCAGGGAATAATGGCTTAAATGAAGTGCAGGTTTAAGATTATTGAGGTGTGGGTAATAAGAAATGGGAATTAAATTTTGTTAAATTAATGGAAGAAAATTTAATTCGTGTTTATAATAATTAAATATGTATATATATTTAGTATGATCAAGAAGAGATAAAAAAAGAATAAAATGCTAAAAGATGGTAGATTGAAATAGGTAAAGAGATGTGGAAAAAAAAATTAGGATATGGTGATTGATGTTAGAGAATGTTGTGGTATTGTAATAAATTAATAACGTTTTAGTTTAATTATTATTATTTTAAAAGAAGAATGTATAAAAAGGTAAAGAAAAAAATAAATAAATAGCCGATAGTGTGATTATTATTATGATTTTATACGAAATATTTTGATAAAAAAATTTTTAAACTGAACAAAATAATCCTTTGTTTTCAAGGCATTCATTCATATTCGAAATCTGACAATGGAATCATATATTCCACGCCAAGTAAGATAAGGAATTAGCTAATAAGGAATAAAAAATATATAATTTAAAGAAGAGTTAAATAATAGTGTGATATTTTTTTAAAAAAAAATAAATAAAATAATGGGATATTAATAATGAAAAATAAGGATTTGAAATAAATAGAAAAAAAAGGAAATATGAATTTCCTACCTTTCCTTTCCTTTCTTTCTTACTTTCTTTCTTTCTTACTTACTTTCTTTCTTTCTTTCTTTCTTTCTTTCTTTCGAGTAATTGTAAATTGATAAATCATTTTCTTTTCTTAAAAGTAAATTGTAGCCTCAACTCTGAGTTATGTCTAATCATAAATGAACTCTGTAGGGATTTTAGAGAGTTTAGGGATAAAAGTTAGACAAGAATTAAAGATATTTATTTTAAAGTGGTGTCGTAAAATAATTATCTATATCACAATTTATCAGTAGACATATATATATGTATATTATATCTTTCGGTAAAGGTTAATTGTATATATATAAAAAAACATTTGAATATTATTTCAGTAAGAAAATAAATTAACTTTTCACAATTATAAAATTATAATTTAAATATTTGATTTATATAGCCGCAAAAAACAATGTACATACAAACAGATACTATAATATTATAAATAGAAGAGAGAATATATATAATATTAGTGTAAGTAAATTCTTTCTTTTCTATAATGTGTAGTATACAGTGTTGTGGTGATTCAATGAAACATATTGACGATTAAATTTAAACCCATTCATATAAAATGATAATATTTGCAAAAATAATTAAAATATAGAACAAAGAAGCATGATTGAAATTTCTTTTATTATTTCTTTTGTTGTACATTTGTAAAGAATATAATTATATATGCGTGTGTTTTAATTAAATCGTCAATATGTTTCATTAAATCATCACAACACTGTAATATATTTTGTCATATGAAATTGTTACAATGCAAAAATCAATTTTTTTTGAGGACATTTTAAAAATAAAAAATATAATACAAAGTCAAATCATGTATAAAATTACATTACATAGTGTATCAATTGTATATCAACGCCATTTTAGTTATAAAGTAACAAATTTTTTTTATTAGAGATTTCTTATTATATGAAAAACCCAAAAGGGAGGATCACCAGCTGATTTATATTCGACGAGACGTTTCAGAATCAGTTCTCGTCAAAAAAAAAATATATGATTTGAATTTTTTTAAAAAATTTAAATTATTTTGTTGTTTTTCAGCTACAAAAATAT